GCACATCAGGCTGGAACGAAGATGAGATGGTTGCTTAGAAGGTATGGTTATTTCTGGCCCGACATGGAAAAAGATTGCAAGTCTTATGCCCGAGGTTGTGAAGAATGTCAAAGACACGGACCTCTCCAGCATGTGCCATCGGTACCTTTAAATCCAGTAGTCAAGCCTTGGCCCTTCAAAGGATGGGCGATGGACTTCATCAGGCAAATCTATCCAGCTTCTAGTAAAGGGCATACCTTCATAATTGTAGCAACGGATTATTTCACCAAGTGGGTGGAAGCATCAGCAGTAAAATCCATAACTTCAACCACAATCAAGAATTTTATCGAGACCAAGATTCTGCACAGATACGGGGTGCCCGAAACTATAGTAACGGATCGTGGGCCATCTTTTATTTCAAAAGAAGTTGAGGAGTTTGCAAGCAAGTACAAAATAAAGATGATCCAGTCCAGTCCGTACTACCCTCAATCAAATGGCCAGGCAGAAGCCATCAACAAGATCCCGGTCAACATTATCAAAAGAATGGTGATTGATAGTCCAGAAAAGTGGCATGAAAATCTGGGGAACACTTTGTGGGCATACAGAACTTCCAAGAGGGCAGGAACAGGGACAACTCCTTATGCTTTAACTTTCGGGCAAGATGCAGTGCCGTGGAGATCAATGTAAGTTCTGTAAGAATTCAAAATAATTTGGGTTACATAGTGAAGAGTACATCGAAGCCATGTGTCAAGGAATTGAAGACTTGGATGTAGCCCGAATTGAAGCTTTGAACCCGATTCAAGAAGGAAAGCAAGCCGTTGCCCGAGCTTATAACAAAAAGGTAAAGATGAAGTCTTTCAAGGAAGGGGATTTAGTATGGAAGACAGTCCTCCCTCTAGGAGCTCAGCTCAGGGGCTTTGGAAAATGGAGCCCAACATGGGAAGGTCCTTTCATTATTAGTCGCGTTTTGGATAGAGGAGGATACTACTTGGCGGACCTTGAAGGAAACAGGCAGAAACATCCCATTAATGTTAAATTCTTAAAGAAATATTGTCCTACGTTGTGGGATGTTAGAGATTGTTATATTGAAGAGGATGCAAGGTAAAGCAAGCTTTGGGATATCAATGTGCAGTGTATATTTATCAATCATTCAAGAAGATGGAAAGACAAGAGTTGCTGAGATAATGTATATTTCATTTCGACAAATTGATGAAATTTACAAAAGATTCAAAACCGACGTATTACAATCAATTCTCATTCTGGATGCAATGATATCTTCAGCTGATTTTCCGATGTCTTCATGGATGGAACCCGATCAGGTGATCAGGTTGTGCGGCCAACATGAGCCTGGTAGAGGATCCTCAGACAGGACCATCACCATAAGTGATGGTGAAGCCCGACTTATCACCGCACCAAGCAGGAAGACAAGCCTTCAAGAGGAAACCGCCTGACCAAGGGTGTTGGAGATAGCGGGGTGTTCGACCAAGGGTGTTGGAGATAGCAGTCATTTGATGAAAACCCTTTTTCTCACGAAAAGGGAGTTTTAGGAAACCCTACTCAAAGCCTGAGGAACCCATTTCTCAGTTTTTGAACGCTCGAGGAAGATGGAAGAGAAGGCCGAAGAGGATTTGATGGCTTGACAGAAGAAATTCTGAGCCAGAAATTATAGAGCCCCCAGAGGATAGTTCAAAGGTCGTGAGGAGAGCAAGGGGCACAGGGTTGCCTTCATCCTGTCTAGAAAACACAAAGTTCCAAAAGATTGATATACACGCATGCGGATATTCAATCAATGATGGCACATGGGATTCCAACCTTAACATTAATTGAAGGGGGCACTGTTTGGATCAAAACTTGAACTTTCGGCTCAAGAAAGGAGCTGGCCCAAAGGGATGCCTAGAGGAGAGCCCGGCCTAAGCCCAGCCAAAGCCCAGAAAGCAGGAAATGGCCTTTTCTGACTTGGTGCAGCTCATGAAGACCACTTGCTTACCTACCCAAAGGCCAAGTGGTATAGACTCACCAGCTACACAGCCCATAAAGTACTTTATGGTGGCAGTACATGTAAAATAGCTGATGAGTCATCACCCTTCAAACCGCATTCGGGCAAGGTTGCTGCTACAGGAGACCACGCCGAGTTGTCTATATAAGAAGAAAGAGAAACCAGGAATAAGGACACTCAATCAAACAAACAAAAGCACAAACTCTGCTCAAAGTCAGATTTGCCTTCAAAACGAAGCTGTAGTCAGCCCAAACCTTCATCTATCTCGGGACAAGCCTTCATCCCTCGTAGGATAAACCTTCACTCAAACCTTGGTTATAGCTCTGCTACCTTGTTCAACCTTGCTGTAGTATCGATTCATCTTTTGTAATCTCTCTCTATAAAGCTTTCAGACCCTTGATAAACTCCAAAGATAGGTACCTGCAAGACGATCAGCCTTACCCGACAAGGTTAAACCTTGCCCGACCTTCTTTGTTTTTGTCTTTTCATTCATTAGCCTAGCAATATGTTGTATACTTCCAGTTATATTCAAGTTATTTCTAGCAAGATGACTATTAAAAGGCTTTCTCAGTACTTGGATCCGATTTGAATATATCTTCAGTGTTCAAACCAGATCCAAGTCTTAAGCCTTCGGGCATGCAAATCTGATTAGTTAAAAGTCCTTGGCCTCAAGGCATAAAAAAGAACCTTATGTGGACTTAACCCATCCACGACAATCCTTGATAAACGAGAAGTCCGAAGTTACTTGGGGCGCAAGTAATCGACCTACCTCTTAGTCTTATTTCTATTATATTATGATTATCATAGAACGTTTAAGCATGGAAAAGATTCTGATAGGAAGCCTCAAGGCCTACACCTAAGGCCCCACGAAGGCACCTATTTGGATTCATTCTGTTCTGCGGTCTAGAACGTTTGAGTATAAGAACGAACTCTAATGGGAAGCCTCAAGGCCTAAATCTAAGACCCTACAAAGGCACCTATTTGGGTTCATTCTACCTCTCGGACTCGGGTAATCAGAAGTATAATAGTTATAAGACTCATGCAATCACGAGAAAAAATATGATGTGTTCGAGCACTGGTTTAGTTATTGATAGGAAGCCTCAAGGCCTACACCTAAGGCCCCACAAAGGCACCTGTCATAACTAACACGGTTTCTCGGGTATATACATATATACAACCAAAACTCGACATCCATTTCACATCTGCCATACTGAAGATGGCAGTGGCACGCCTGAGCACCTAAAAGTTAACCTTGATTGTGAGCCTCAAGAACTACACCTAAGGCCCCACAAAGGCACCTCTCAAAGTTAACTCTGTCATTCTCTTTCAGCTTTGCCTGACGAGCCTTGCCCGAAGAGTCTTGCCCGACAAGACTTGCCCAACGAGACTTGCCTGACAAAGCCCGACAGTGAAGTATAAGCCCAACAGCAGCCCTCAACCGGCGCCAACCTCCCGGGGAGCTGTGTGCTCGTCGGCCAGGAAACATCCCTGACGGAAATTCCTGACGCGAACAGGAGGGACACTAAATAGACCATAAGGGACACACTAAACTGTAATTTATCATTTGTATAGTGTACCTCAATTATAATTTTGATTAAAAGTTAGTAATTGGTTCTAGGAAACCGAATGTGTTCGAAATTATCTTCTGCCAGCTATATCCATTAAGAAAGTTGTAATGGCACTTATGAAGAGAGAAGCAGATGTCGGATTCAACCCTATGTTAGATAGAAGAACGGCAACACCGGCCTGCTCATACACCTGAGGAGTGCAAAAATTACATGGGTTTAAATAAAATTTCCCTTTTTTAAGTTTTTCTACCAAACCTGATGAAGAATTTGAAGTCCAATTCCAACAACTAATGCATGCAGCACGCTTCACTCCCAGCTTCCGATGGTGGAACACAAAGAGAGCGCAGGCTTGTTGGTTCCTTGGCAGAAACAGTAAGCTGACTAACTAGTAACTAGAGCAGCAGCATAATGAGTTCACTTTCTTGGCTTACACCAGAAATTTAAACAACCGACGAAGGCTGAGACCTATGAGATTATGAGTTGATTCAAGCGACTATGTTTTTTACATTGTTATCTCCTCTTGATATTAAAATTCTACTAAATCTTATTAATCAACACCAAATCAAATTTTCCACCTATTCATTCATTGAAAAAGCAGAAGTAAATGCTAATAAAAAAATAGTTGCACACCCCGACTCTTGATTAAACATTAGTCCTACAAGTCTTCCATCTCTGCATGTAAACTTGATTAACAGAGAGAGAAGCATGTTGTTTACATGTTCATCCAAACGATGTAGTTCTTTGATCTTCGTGTATAAATTTTGTACTTAAATGAACAAAACCAAGTTTTTAGGTAATTCATCTTGAATTTTGTACTTATAATCTCATTTCTCCTTGTATATTTTCCTTCCATAATTGTTTGTTTTGATTAATTAGAAATTGATTTTATCAATGAAAGGCACTTCAAGATACAAATGTGGTTTATGTTTTTCTAATAACTAAGGCCATCTCCAACCGAAGGTTAACCAGAATGCTCGTTTTAGCCCTCTGACCATTCAAGATATTAATATTTTAATGAACAGTACATGACCATATTTGCCTTCATCTCCAACCGGGGGCCAAAGGACCAAAGAACTCGTTTTAGTCCTGTCACAAAAAATCATCTCCAACCAAGGGCCAAAGGACTATAGTATGGAATGTGAAGAATTAAAATAAAATAAGATAAGATAGTATGAAATGGTAAAAAATATATGAGAAATGATGTAGGAAAAAAATTAGAAATTTAAAAAAAAAAATCGTCCAAAAAAAAAAAGAACTGGGACCAAAAAAATTCCTAATCCCTAAACCTAAATTGGGCTGAAAGAACTAAAAAAAAAGAGACAAAATGGGCTAGCAAGCAGGCTGGTTGGCTGGTTGGCTGGCTGAAGATGGCCAACCGGTTGGCCCTCTGGCCTGTTCAGATTATGTGGGGTTCATGAGTCCTCTGGCGTAGTCCTCGATTAGAGATGATTTTTGGGTTATTTTCGACCCTCTAACTCTCTGGACCCGATTGGAGATGGCCTAACCACCTACAGATATGAAATCTTTGTTTTTAAAGATATGAAATCATTGATTATGCATATTGAAAATTGTTCAAATTTTTTCCTGTATTTAATTTAAATTAATTATTTTTTATTATATTAATTTAAAAAAGATATCACAATAAAGAATAATAAGAAAATCGCTAAAACTGAAATGTACGTACCCAAGAAATTGTGGACAATTGCTCTTGCTCCTCCTCAATATTAGAAGGAACATTGTGATCAATCTGCGTGCGTTTCAGATGATCATCCGATGGCTTCGAAGATAAGGAAGGCCATTGTTGTTGCCGACCATATTCATCATCGACGATATCTGAGGATCCAAGACCACTCGTTGGTCCCAAAGACAAGGGAAGCCGTTCATCTTCTTTGCGCAATAGGGGGTGCACCCCGCAGATTTTAATGCCTGCCCATTCGGGGACTTGAAATTTAACTTTACAAATATCTCCCGGCTTCTCTAAATCCACTAACATGAGCCCCACATGAGCTTTCTCCATGCATTTCCCACTCCACTCAAATTCTTTATAATCACTTGCTTCGTTGATGTGAATACGAAAAATGTAATAACGCCCCGCTCCAATCAATTTTGGTAAAGGCCGTGGTGGAAAAACACAAGATAGAGCCAATCCAAATAACGTCTCCCTCTCCTGTAAATTTAGAGGAATTTCAAAACTAAATTCACTACCTCCAAAATAATCATGTTGCCTTGCATCTTTTCGTACACTTTCAATCCTAATGGCTGTTAGATGTTTAGAGGTATAGCTGAACCTCTTTGGAATTTCATCGCCTGGATACGTAACTTGCAATTGAGAGCATCTAAGAAATTCCTGCAATAGTGAATAATACGTAAATAACTAATTACAAACAATCATGATCTATTCTCCCTCCCAAGTATCAACAAATTATATATTTTAATTTCAAGAGAAATGAAGAGAGGAGAGACGAACCTGATTCCAGTTCAACAAATTATTTTCCAACTTTGCCACCTCATCGCCACTTAGTCTAAAGCAATTAGTCAACGGCAGACGCCTAAGCCCCGAGGGCAACTTTGGAATTATCTCCAATGATGTGCAATCATCCAGACATAATTCCCTTAGATTTGGTGGAAGGGCATGTGGAATTTCCCGAAGCCTCTTGCAGCCTTGCAATTTAAGCCCCTTCAAGTTGACAAATTTGCTAATGCAATCCGGAAGACTAACAAAATTGTTTCTCGACAGATCAAGATCTGTTAATGTGGACCAGCAATGAAGACTGGATGGTTCATTTCGAAGAGGCACAAGGAAATTACTTTCTGATAAATTGCATCCAATAAGAGAAAGCCGGCCTACGTTGAAAACGGCTAATGGGATACCGTTGTAATGTGAAGTATCTAAGCGAGTTGAAAACTTCCCAAATGTCACCAGTTTTGGGCATCCATCCATTTCAATATAGTCGAGATGTTGGAACCCATAAATGTGATGTAATGATGTAACTGTAAGGTTCTCACACTTTCTTGCATACAAACGTTTAAGCCCAGTAAGATATGCAATTGATGAAGGCAATTCTCTTATGCCACTTTTTGCTATAACCAAATACTTTAGAGATTCCATCTCGGCCTCTATTTCTGGGAAACTCTTGAGCCTTGTGCAACCAGAAAGAGAAAAGCTTTTAAGGGATCTCAATCTAAGTCTCGTCGCAAATCTCTCAAGCCTAGAGCACCCATAAAGACTTAAAGTACCAAGTTTATCAAGGAATCCAACAGAATCATCAACTTCAACCAAACTTTTACACTCATTTAGAATCAACTCTCTTAGGTTTGGACTTCCGGATAAGTTGGGAATTTTTTCTAAAAATTCGGAACCACTTAAATTCAAAGATGTAAGCATTGCCAAATTCTGTGAAATCAAAATCAAAAGAAAAGAAAAAATCACAAACCTTAAATAGAATAATTAATGATGAAAGCTTAGGCAAATTTCTTTTTCCAAAAATAAAATATACAATTAAATTAGTAATTGTCCAAATTAATTTATAATACATATACATACCTGAAATACCTTCAATTGTCTGATGTCACTGTTTGGCATAATAAACGTGACAAGATGCCTTAGATGACAATTGGATTGCAAATTGAATGCAAGTATATGCTTTTGAAGAATATTGGATCCCCAGTCATGAAGCCCATCTCCACCGAATTCAATCCACCTCAAATCGTCGGGCAAATACTCAATGCATCCAGAAAAGTGTGCATTACAGATTATAAAAATTTCAAGATTTACCATCTTGAAAAAGCTTTTTGCATTCAAGGGTATCACAACTGGCTTGGGCAACTTCACCACAATGCCTTTAATTTTCTTTGTTCCCTAAGATGAAAAAATAAATAGTGTTAACAAACAAATCGTATAACAAAGAAATCAAAAGAATTTTAAATTTTTTTCTTTCCAAAATCATGCCAATTAAATCAAATGCAAGAACATATATTCTACTTACTCTGTTTTTAGTTAAAACACGGTACACATCTTCATGATGCCACAATCTGCTCCGCTCGCCTGGTTCAGTGGGCGATTCCTCCCAAACTATATGCTTACCCATCTGTTCTAGCAAGTCATGCATCAAAATCCTATTATCTTCAATAGTTATAATGGCATTCTCAACAAGAGCATCAATACAATGTTGACGTACTTTGAGGTTTGATCCTTTTAATATCTGCAACACTTTGTCTTTATCTTCACCCTTGAAGAAGCATGCAATGTCTAGGAAAACTTGTTGAGAGACATAATCCAAGGTATCATAACTTTTCCGAAGTACTCTTTGAATCCCTCTATAAGGTTCTTCATCGTAACTATCCAAAATATCTTGCCAACGATCTATATTTTTACTACGCAGATGAGAACCTATAAGATTAAGAGCTAACGGGAGGCCTTGAGCATAGGCTATTGCACGTCGTGCGAGTCCCAAATAATCATCTGGAGGTTTTTCTTTTCCGAAGGCATTCCGACTAAAAAGCTCAAGAGCTTTGTTGTCTTCTAACTTTTGGACCTTGTATATCAGCTCAACTTTACAAGATTCTAGCAATCCTTTATTTTTTGTGGTTATGATCACTCTGCTACCTTCACCTAACTGATGGACTTCAACCAAGTTGTTTAACTGCTCCAATTCATGCACATCATCAAGAATTAAGAGAACCTTTTTTCCCCTCAACAGTTTCTTTATAAAACTGATTCCTTGATAAACATCGTCAATTTTTATCTCTGTAACACGTAGAACTTTAGAAAGAAGATCTTTTTGTAATTGGTTTACGCCTCCATGTGATGTCGATCTTTCTCTAACATCTGCCAGGAAACAACTGCCTTCAAATTCATGAGCAATTGCCTTATAAACAGCTTTTGCAATTGTTGTCTTGCCTATTCCAGGTGTCCCCCAAATCCCAACCACACAACAATCATTTCCTCCGACCCCTAAAAGCACTTTCACCTCTTGAACGCAAGAATCTATTCCAACTGGGTATTTGGCCACATTCAAATATGTGCCATCAAGTACTTTTACTAAGATATTCTCAACAATGTTGCTGATTAATGTAACCATCGACCTGCCAGTTAAAAAGAAATCACACATTTAATGTAGCTACTTAAGGAAATGTATTATATTGAATTAACATACTTATATATATTTGTATAGATGGATATCCGAAATATATCAAATAAATTAATATACTTAAATGAAAGATTATACAAATTGTATCGGAATATATTATTAAGAAAAAATTAGTTTAACTAATGTAGACATCAAAATATATTATGATGAATGAAATGAAAATAAAACTGAAAATATGACTTTAGCCCCTGAAATTTAATTTTCTCCACATAAAACCCGTCATAAGTTTTTTACTCAAATAAAACCCATTAACTAGATTCCACATCAGCAAATTCATTAATTATATTTGACTTTATACATTTAAAAAATTTTGATGCCCAAAACACCCCTATTTGAATGTTTGATGTACACAATTAGTTCCACATAGATTGTAAGAGAGAATTAATGATTTTACGAAAATAATAAATAATAAATTTATTGCCTAATATATAATAACAACAAAATATGCCTAATATATGTAATATTACATGCTTCGTTAGGGGTGGGTTCAAAAAATCGAAAACCGAAAAAAACCGAGAACCAAACCGAACCGAACGAAAAAATCGAACCAAATTGAAAAAACCGAACCGAACCGAATTCTTTTGGTTCGATTCAGTTTTAGTGATCTAGAAACCCAACCGAATTAATTAAATTAATTTTTTTATTTAATTATTTGTTTTGGGTATTATTTTCTAACCCAATTTGTAAGTTAAAATGTGCTAAACCCAATGTGTTGCCAAACTTTAAGCTCAAAATATTAAAAAAAGGCCTATAAAAACTCTAATCCCTAACCTATTATTTCTCCCCCATATAAGGTTCCGGAACCAAACCTCATCCTGAAGTACCTACATCCATCTCCATAGCACTGTCTACTTCTGCTCCAGCTTTCTTTTCCAAATCTACTCTTATATAACATGTAAGAGAATCCATAAACATTTATTTCGGGTAGATTACTTGGGTAATTTGTGATGGAAAAAAATCCAACACACACTAAATAAATCCACCCACGCATTACTTTTACTAATCAAGTTGTCAACATGCAGTTACAAGCAAACAACCCTGATCTTTGAACAACATCATACAATTTAACTTTTCTAAGTCATTTGTACGCTTTTTGTGTTGTGAGGTTGTTAGTTTGGACTTTGGAAGACTTGATTGATGATTTTAGTTCAACTTTAAATGTTTATTTTTATTGTCTTTGATTCTAGTTAGAATGCTTAAATTATGGTTGTGTTGGATATGTTAAAATTTAAAATTTCAATGTTTTTCATTTTTTGAAAAAAAATAAATAAATAAACCGAAACCGAACCGGAAAAAACTGAACCAAAAAATAACCGAACCGAAAAAAAAATGAACCGAACCGAACCGAAATTTCGGTTTGGTTTCGGTTTTGGCAAAAAACCGAACCGATTTAAACCGAACCCACCCCTATGCTTAGTTAAGTCAACAAATTATATTTTACATATAAATGTAGGTAAATTATTTCTCACACATATATATAACAAAAAAAAAGCCAGGTATACCTAAAAATTCATGCAAAATAATTTACCTACAAAAAATGTTATTTGATTCAATGCACCTACTATTCGAATTTTAAAATGTTAGATTGCTTAAAAAAAGAAAAATAATTTCCCACCTATATGTAAAATACATGCAAAATAATTTACCTACATAATAAAGCAAACCCAATGTATGCAAAATAATGTACCTACATAAAAAAATATTATTATTTTATTCAATACTATTTTACCTATTATTTTGTACATATAATAATAAAAAGTGCCCAATATATATGATGATACATACAAAATATATGTTATTTGCTCATCATAAATTTACATATAGGTAGATTAATTAGTATAATATGCTTGATCATATATGTAGTACTGTGCATACATACTTACATATACATATATATATAGACCTTGCGGTAGTACCATACACATTTGAACGTATATATGTATATATATATATATGTATATATATATGTGTGTGTGTGTGTGTGTTAGGGGTAATAATATGCTTATACATGTGTGTGTGTGTTAGGGGTAATAATATGCAATAAATTATTTGTTCATTGTAATTAAGGTGAGTAATAATATTTATTGATTTATTTTGAATGTTGTGGTACCAAGTTGTAAATATTTTGTATTAATAGGTCAATTACTTTCATACATGGCAATTACTTTTAAATTTGAGTTTTATTTGAATGTTTATAATTATGTGAGTTTTTATATAGGAAATAAGAGTTACAAGGGTTTATATCTAAAGAACTCAATAAAATTTAACTAAAATTAGATTTTAATCTTACACAAGATTATAGTATAAAACTCATCTTTTTTTAAGAGTTAAAATTAAGTTGTCTAAAAATAAATTGATGATTTACTAGTGGACCTTCTATCCACAGGGCAACCTGCCCAATAAACTGCTTCCTTCAGTCTCGGAGATTCCATACGCAGTGAACCCTGGACCGTCATCAGCAAATGGGTCTCCAAGCTTCTGCAGTCGTCTTCTATATTCGTCATGAACCGGGTGACCCGGAACACGATTACCTTATTCCCTATGCATACTAGTATATCGATCTTTTGAAGATCAGTTTGAGATACCCATTTCTTAAGCGCAGACAGAGACGACAACCGCAGCATAATAAGAGCAAATTGATATAAGACACATTGAAAATCATGCTAAACAAGTAAACAAAGTGACAAAGAGTGAGTGGCAAGAGACCAAAACCTCAGTTGTGTCGAAAACCAAGATCAAGGCAGCCAACTACTCATACATTGGGAGGGACTCTATAAAAAATTCGTCATGGAGATGAGCCATCCATACCGAAACACCAGCCGTGTAGTAATTTGTAGAGATATTCCATCTATTTCTTTACAACAAAAATCATCAAAATACACATTTTAAAAGAATTCAAAACGAATTGTTTGTTCCCAAAATTCCTAAGAGTTGAATTCTTTGATCCCAAAATTCAAAATTTTACGTAACCATCAACTACCAGCTGAGATGACGATGAAGAATCAGAAGCATCGTCAAAATCCAAACCCAGTAATCCAACAAATCAACAGGTCATGAATTTAGTATCAATCAAAGGAGAGAGAAAGAGAGAGAGCTTACGGGAAATGAGAGAGCGTTTGACGACGCCGGGGGAGCCCAGGAAGAAGATGACGGGCCGCTTCTCCAGTGATAAAATCCAAATCTCTAGGCCCTTAATCAACCTGCTGTTGGAGTATGTGTCCAAGTGGTCAACTTTTGGCTATAAAAAATTATAAAGAAAAGAAATGACAACATGATTATGTTTCCTTATTTTGTGGCATGTTTTGTGGCTTTTTTTAAAGCCATAATTATGAGGCTTTTTTCGGATAGAAGAAATAAGGAAGGAAAAGCTCATTTTTAGTAAGTGAGTTCATTTTCTGCCGAGAGCAAGGAGAGTTGTAGAGAGCCCAAAAGAAAGAAGAAGTTGCTGCTTCATTTGGTTAGTAATCATCCACCAAAGTAGTTGTTGTAATAGTTTTGAGCTATATGTATAGAGAAGAAATTATTCATTATATTTCTTCCTCTATTTGTATATTTGGTGTGTGAGAGCTATTAGGTGTATTGGGCTTTTGGGTTGTGAGATTGCCAATACTTTGTAAACTCCCATTTGGTTGATAGTGGATTATTGGGTGAACTCCTACTGCTCCGAGGAAGTACTCCAGTTACACTGACTGTTAAGAAACCTCGTTAAAATCTTGGTGTCTTTAATATTTTGTTCTTGCATTCTATTTGATATATTTCTTGTGGGTTATCATGAGTTAGTTCTAAAAGGTTTGGTGTTATCCTAGCACAACAATTGGTATCAGAGCACTGGTTGCTCTTGGGTACTGTCTAGTTGTCAAAGATGTCAGACGGGCAAGATGAGAATCCTTTTGGAAGCAGCTTCGGGTTTGCAAGAACTACGGTGCAAAATGCAAAGTTCGAAGTGAAAAAGTTTGATGGCACAAACAACTTCGGAATGTGGCAATGTGAGGTCAAAGATGTGTTGGCTCAACAAGATCTACTTGCCGCTTTGGGAGAGAAGCCGGAAGCTATGTCGAAGCCGGAATGGGGGAAATTAAATTTGTGGGCTTGCTCTTCAATTCGGTTGTGTCTTGCAAAAACTCAGAAGTATTTTGTGATGCAGGAGACATTAGCAAGTGTGTTGTGGAAAAAATTGGAAGACAAGTATATGACAAAGAGTGCAGAGAACCGACTACACTTGAAGAAAAAGCTCTACCGCTTCCAATACAAAGAAGGTACAAAAATGATTAGACACCTTGATGCTTTTAATAAGTTGATTGCCGACTTGTTAAATTTAGATGAGGATATTAAGGATGAAGATAAGGCCTTAATATTGTTGAATTCATTGCCGGACTCTTATGAGCATTTTGTTACCACTATTATGCATGGTAAAGAAACTGTGAAATTTGAAGATGTGTCAAATGCCTTGATGAATTATGAAATGAGGCATAGAGATAAAAATCATGATAGTACATCTGAAGCTTTATTTGTTAGAGGTAGATCATCGGAGAGAAGATCATCTTCTAATAGGAAAAAATCACAGTCTCGACCTAGAGGAAAGTCTAAAGGTAGAAAACCTTTGGAAATGGATGAATGTGCCTTTTGTCATAATAAGGGCTATTGGAAGAAAAATTGTCCTAGGTTGAAGACCAAAGGCAAAGAAAGTTCTGAAACTAATGTTGCTGAGATTGAAACAGATTTTTCTGATTTTGCTTTAACCACTTCCTCATCATTTGATTGTGCTACTAAGTGGGTGTTGGATATGGGTTGTACTCATCATATGACTCCTCACAAGGATTGGTTTTCAAGCTTGAAAGAGTTTGATGGTGGAGTTGTGTTCATGGGAGATGACAATCCTTGCACAACAAAAGAGATTGGTACAGTTCGTTTGAAGTTGCATGATGGCATGGTTAAAGAGTTGACAGGTGCTCGGTATGTACCGAATTTGAAGAAAAATCTTATTTCTTTGGGTACTTTGGAATCCAAAGGTTTCAGGATTCATTCAGATGGACAAACATTGAAAGTTACTTATGATGCACTTGTTGTGATGAAAGCTCCTAGATGTGGCCATTTGTATTTATTGCAGGGAAGCATTGTGATAGGTGAAGCATCTGTAGTCTCTGAAAATATGGGCACATCTGATTCAAATACTACTAGATTGTGGCATATGAGATTAGGCCATGCCGGTGAGAAAGCTCTACAAAGGCTTGTGAAAAAATGTCTTCTAAAAAGTGCCACGACTTGTAAGAAATAATTATGTACAAACTTCAGTAACACTTTTAAAATCTAAAGCATTATAAACTATTAAGAAATAATTAAGAAATAAATGTTCTTGATTATCTAATGGACCAGTGAGATATTTTGGTAGGTAGGTGATTGTGTACAATCTTCAATACTATTTTTAAAAGGAATGCTAAGTACTACTTTAGTATTGAGGTACATTTATAAAAAGTGAGTATAAAAAAAGTTGAGCTCAAAAACGTATTTGGTAAACACTTAAAAATAACTTATTTTCACAGTTTTAGATGAAAAAAAAAAGATGAAAACGTGAAGCAGCAAAATGAGCTTATTCTCATAGCACAGCATAATCAGGTTTTTTTCAAAGCATAGTAATACCAAACCAGACCTAAGAGAACCTCTTAAAAGTGGGAGTTTCTATAGAGAACTTTTTTATAGTGTCCAGAACAATAATGGTACACTACATGTAATTATATAAGCTGAGGGTAGTTTTATTTTTCAAGTATTGTTACTTTTTTAACACAAGTATTGTGACGACCCGTCCTGAATTAATATATATTTTATCCTCGAATGTGTGGAAATGATGATTATACCCTCAAGTCGTAGTGACGTGGATGTACGTATATGGTTTTAAATTATTTTCCCGTTGACATAATTAAATCATACTCAATGTCACGAGAGCATCGACGTAAATTAGGATCAAATCGAGTTCGTAACAGAAATGTTATGAAAAAAAAAAACAGTCTAATAGTGGGTCTTTTCATTAAAGGAGCCATGTAACTCCATGTGCTTTGAAAAAAAGCCAGTTTTCCAAAGCTGCAAATAGCTGCTTCAGCTTTTTCTTTTGATTTCAGCTTATTCTCACTGCAGCTTCCAAAATAAGCTCTTTTTTTTTAGTTTACCAAACACCTAAAACCCTCACAGCTTTTTTTCATGGATGTTTTTTTTTAAGCACCTCACTCCCAAACCCAACCTTAACCTCCTGCACCAAGCAAAGAAAATAAACGGGCAAATCTAATGGACTCTGTCCCAGCAGCAACAGAGAAAACAAAGGACCCATAAATGGCAAAAGGCGGGAGACAGAGTATTTGTCCAAAACCAAAAATGTGTCAAGACATGATTGGCTGCAATTTTGACCCAAACTCCATCCCAGAATCTGCAAGGAATTAATATATAGGGACAGAGACCTGTGAAATTATGGCCATGTTTTCTACATATTGTTGTCTCATCTTGATATTAAAATCGTACTAAATTTTATTAATCAACACCAAATCAAAAAATTTCACCTATTTGTTAATTGGAAATGCTCATAAAAAGTACTCTTGATTAAACAGTACTCCAACAAGTTTTCCATCTCTGCGTGTAAACTTGATTAACAGAGAGAGGAATACGTGCTCTACATGTTTATCCAAACGGTGTAGTTCTTTGATCCTCCTGCAGAAATTTTGTGCTTATAATCTCCATTTCTCCTTGTAGGTTTATATATCTGAAAAAAACCAAGTTTTAAGATAATTAATCTTGAAATTGTTACTCTTAATCTCATTTCTCCTTGTACGTTTTCCTCCCATTGTTGTTTGTTTTGATTAATTAGAATTTGGTTTTATTAGTGTAGGTCTGCGGCTTACTCACTCACAGTCAAAGGTACTTTAGGATACAAATGTAGTTTCTGTTTTTCTAATAATTAGCCAGTAGCCACCTACCGATATGAAATATTTGTTTCTGCAGATTGAAAACTGTTTAAATTCTTGGGTAAATTACATGTTTCTACTTTAACTTTGGGTCTTATAACAAAGTTATACCTCATCTTTTAAACATTGCAATGTCTTGAGTAACTTACGAATTTGTTGCAATCTTAAACCTCCGTTAAAATATCCATCAATTTGTTTGTTAATTTTAATTTAATTGAGAACTAAAAATTCTCTAATTGTTAATATTAAATTAGTTTTATAACCTAGTTAGGTAAGAGAGCGGGCCCATGTCTGCCATGTCAACATTTAACATATAAATTATCAAAAAATTTGATGGATGTATGATATTGCAACAAATTTGTAAATTGATGTATAATTTAGCAATATTTAAAACATGGGATATGAGATTGTTATGCAACCCAAAGTCGAGGAAGTAAAATGTAATTTACCCTAATTTTTTATGTATTTAATTTTAATTAATTAATTTTATTATATTAATCTAAAAAGGTACCACAAATTCACAATACAAAAAAATAAAAAAATTATTTAGTTATACTAAAACTGAAATGTACGTACCCAAACTCCTAATGAAGAAAAAATTGTGAGTCATCTGAAATGGATGGTTGCTCTTGCTCCTCCTCAATATCAAAAGGAGCATTAAGATCAATCTGCCTGCGTTTCGGATGATCATCCGCCGGGTTCGAAGATAAGGAAAGCCATTGTCGTTGCCGATCATATTCCTCGTGGACGGTATCTGAGGATCCAAGTGGACGAGGCCTCTTTCCAAGACTACTTGTTGGTCCCAAAGACAAGGGAAGCCATTCGTCTTCTTTGCGCAATAGTGGGTGCTCCCCGAAACTTTTAATGCGTGCGCCCTTGAGGAAAAAAAATTCAACATTACAAATATCTCCCTGCTTCTTTTCTAAATCCACACCAAATCAAAATTTCCACCTATTCATTAATTGAAAAGGCAGAAGTAAATGCTAATAAAAAAATAGTAGTCCTGCAAGTCTTCCACCTCTGCGTGAAAACTTGATTAACAGAGAGAGAAGCATGTGGTTTACATGTTCATCCAAACGATGTAGTTCTTTAATCTTCGTGTAGAAATTTTGTACTTATATGAACAAAACCAAGTTTTTAGGTAATTAATCTTGAATTTTGTGCTTATAATCTCATTTCCCCTTGTATATTTTCCTTCCATAATTGTTTGTTTTGATTAATTAGAATTTGATTTTATTAGTGAAAGGTACTTCAAGATACAAATGTGGTTTCTGTTTTTTCTAATAACTAACCACCTACGGATATGAAATCTTTGTTTCTAAAGATACGAAACCTTTGATTATGCAGATTGAAAACTGTTCAAAATTTTTCCTTTATTTAATTTAAATTAATTAATTTTTATTATATTAATTTAAAAAAGATATCACAACAAAGAATAATAAAAAAATCGCTAAAACTGAAATGTACGTACCCAAACTCCTAGTAAATCAGAAATTATGGACGGTTGCTCTTGCTCCTCAATATCAGAAGGAACATTGTGATGAATCTGCGTGCGTTTCGGATGATCATCCGCTGGGTTCGAAGATAAGAAAGGCCATTGTTGTTGCCGATCATATTCATCATCGACGATATCTGAGGATCCAAGACTACTCGTTGGTCCCAAAGACAAGGGAAGCCGTTCATATTCTTTGCGGAATAAGGGGTGCACCCCGCAGATTTTAATGGGTGCCCGTGCGGAGAGTTGAAATTTAACTTTACAAATATCTCCCTGCTTCTTTTTCTCTTCTAAATCCACTAACATGAGCCCCACATGAGCTGTCTCCACGCCTTTCCTCAACTGCTCAAATTGTTGATAATCACTTGCTTCGTTGATTTGAATACGACAAGTGGAATCATATCCCAATTCTGATAAAGGTGGAAAACACAAGATAGAGCCAATCCTAACAACGTCTCCCTCTCCTGTAAATTTAGAGGAATTTCAAAACTAAATTCACTACCTCCAACATAATCAAGTTGCCTTGCATCATTTCGTACACTTTCAATCCTAGTGGCTGTTGGATGTTTAGAGGTATAGCTGAACCACTTTGAAACTTCATCGCCTGGATACGTAACTACCAATTGAGAGCATCGAGGAGATTCCTGTAATAGTGAATAATATGTAAATAACTAATTACAAACAATCGTGATCCGTTCTCCCTGCCAAGTATCAACAAATTATATATTTTAACTTCAAGAGAAATTAAGAGAGGAGAGACGAACCTGATTCAAGTTCAACAAATTATTTTCCAACTTTGCCACCTCGTCGCCACTTACTCCAAAGCAATTAGTCAACCGCAGACGCCTAAGCCCCGGGGGCAACTTTGGAATTTTCTCCAATGATGTGCAATCATCCAGATATAATTCCCTTAGATTTGGTGGAAGGGCATGTGGAATTTCCCGAAGCCTCTTGCAACCAGTCAAATAAAGTGTTTTCAAGTTGACAAATTTGCTAATGCAATCCGGAAGACTAACAAAATTGTTTCTCGACAGATTAAGCCATCTTAATGTTGACCAGCAATGAAGACTGGATGGTTCATATTGAAGAGGCACAAGGAAATCACTTTCTGATAATTTGCATCCTTCAAGATCAAGGCAGCCTACGCTGAAAAGGGCTAATGGGATACCGTTGTAATGTGAAGTATCTAAGCGAGTTGAAAACTTCCCAAATGTCACCAGTTTTGGGCATCCATTCATTTGAATACTGAAGAGATGTTGCAACCCATAAATGTGATGTAATGATGTACCTGTAAGGTTCTCACAATTACTTGCCCACAATTCATGAAGCCCAATAAGATATGCAATTGATGAAGGCAATTCTCTTATGCCACTTTCTTCTATGTACAAATTCTGTAGAGATTCCATCTCGACCTCTATTTCTGGGAAACTCTTGAGCCTTGTACAACCACCAAGATTAAGGTTTTGAAGGGATCTCAATCTAAGTCTCGTCGCAAATCTCTCAAGCCTAGAGCACCCATAAAGACTTAATGTATCAAGTTTATCAAGGAATCCAACAGAATCATCAACTTCAACTAAACGTTTACACTCATCTAGAATCAACTCCCTTAGGTTTGGACTTCCGGATAAGTTGGGAATTTTTCTAAGAATTCGGAACCACTTAAATTCAAAGATGTAAGCATTGCCAAATTCTGTGAAATCAAAATCAAAAGAAAAAAAAAATCACAAACTTTAAATAGAATAATTAATGATGAAAAGCTTTGACAAATTTCTTTTTCCAAAAATAAAATATACAATTAAATTAGTAATAGTCCAAATTAATTTATAATACGTATACATACCTGAAATACCTTCAATTGTGAGATGTCACTGTTTGGCATAATAAACGTGACAACATGCCTTAGATGACAATTGGATTGCAAATTGAATGCAAGTATATGCTTTGGAAGAGAATATTGGATCCCCAGCCTTGAATCTTATCTCTACCGAAATCAATCCACCTCAAATTGTTGGGTAGATACTCAATGCATCCAGAAAAGTGTGCATTACGACTTATAAAAATTTCAAGATTTACCATCTCGAAAAAGCTTTTTGCATTCAAGGGTATCACAGACGGCTTGGGGAACTTCACCACAATGCCTTTAATTTTCCTTGTTCCCTAAATGGAAAAGAAATAGTGTTAACAAACAAATAGTATAACAAACAATTCAAAAGGGTCTTAATTTTTTTTTCTTTTCAAAATCATGCCAATTAAATCAAATGCAAGAACATATATTCTACTTACTATGTTTTCAGTTAGAACACGGTACACATCTTCATGATGCCACAATCTACTCCGCTCGCCTGGTTCATTGGGTGATTCTTCATAAACTATACGCTTACCCATTTTTTCTAGTAAGTCATGCATTAAAATCTTATTATCTTCAATAGTTATGATGGCTTTATCAATGAGTTCTTCAAGACAATCTGGAGGTAGATAGAGATTCAAACTTCTTAATATTTGTACACATAGTCTTTATGTTTGCCCTTGAAGAAGCATGCAATGTCGAGGAAAACTTGTTGCACAACATAATCCCAGGCATCATAACTTTTTCGAAGTATTCTTTGAATACCTGTATAAGGTTCTCCTCCGTATGAATCACAACTATCCAACATAGCATGCCAACTATCTGTACTTTTATTGCGTAGATAACAACCCATAAGTTTAAGTGCTAACGGATGGCCTTGAGCATATGCTATTGCACGTCGTGCGAGTTTCAAATAATCATTTGAAGGTTCTTTTTGTCCGAAGGCATTGCAAATTAAGAGCTCAAGAGCCTTGTCGTCTTCTAACTTTTGGACCTCATATATCAACTCAACGTCATAACAATTCAACAATCCTTTATCTTTTGTGGTTATGATCATTTTGCTACCCTCACCGAGCCATTCAACTTGAACCAAGTTGTTTAACTGCTCCAGTTCACCCACATCATCAAGAATTAAGAGAATCTTCTTTCGCCTCAACAGTTTCTCTATAAGTCTGTTTCCTCGGTGAGGATTGTCAACTTTCCACTCTGGACCACCAATCTCCCTTAGAAGAGTCTTTTGTAGTTGGAGTAGGCCTTCGCATTGCATTGACTTTTCTCGAACATCTGCCAGGAAACAACTACCTTCAAACTTATAAGCAATTGCATTATAAACAGTTTTTGCAACTTCTGTCTTGCCGATTCCAGATGCCCCCCAAATCCCAACCACACACGGATCATTTCCACCGACATCTAAAAGCTTTTTCACCTTTTCTACACAAGACTCCATTCCAACTTGGTACTTGGCTACATTCAAATGCGGGCCTTGTAGTACAAGGACTAGGATCTCGTTCACGATCTGACTGATAAATGTAGCTTCATACCTACCAGTTTATATAAAAAAATTGACACATTTAGCCAATCAACTTTTTCTGCTATATTTCTTTGAAAAAGGAAAAACAAAATGTAAGAAGAAGAAGAGAATGAAAAGATAAAAAAAGATTGAAAAAAAACAGAGGTATGGATAATATCACTGATGCAGTCAAGCATGTGCCGCTTGCAAGTAAATACAGAATCATGTAAGATAATAATTGACCCATTAATAAAAATGATTTACCCCAATGCCATTATTCACAATTTCACATTGCCGTTTATTACTCTGTAAAATCCTAACATCTTTCCATACTTAAGACTTTGACTTCTTTTTTTTCCTTTTGTTAAAAAAAATATTAAGACAGAGACATTTTTTTTTTTTTTTTTTTTTTGCATTTAAATGTTATGTTGTTGTTCGGATGAAAAAAGATGTTTTGTATGGATATGAAACATTTCTTTCCTAAAAATACTAATTTACCTAACATCATTAGTAATCGGTAAATTATAAAACAACACCATAGGTAAATTGATTTTTCAAACAAAATTGGGAAACCAAAATATATTAATAAATTTAAAATTTGAACAATAAAAAATGGGTACACTGGGGTAATTAATCCAGCCAATTCGAAATTTAACACAATTAGTAATGACCAGTTAAACTTGCAATAGGTTTAACACGATAAATGGATATAAATATGCAAGAGAATCAAATTGTTATTATGGGTATTTTAGGAAACCGAAAGATATAAATCTAACTTGTTAAGCTTAATTAGTCAAGCACAAAAACTAGGTTGGGTTTTATGTAAAGAAAATTGAATTTCAGGTGAAGTCATCTTTTCAGATTAAAGGCAGTATAAGGGGAAGAAATATACGTACTCTCCCTCTTTGAAAGTATATCCTGACAAATTTGCTGCATCTGTAAGAGCACTCCTCCATGTGAGGATCTTCTCCTTGTTGTCTTCGAATTTGAACTTTTCTGTAAACGCGTCACCAAAACTACTCGTTTGCTTTCGTACATCGGACGGATCCACTTTGTAAAAAACTGGCAAAACAATTTGCTTCCTTGACTTTTTACATTCAAGGATACGTACGAGCTCTTCCAAGCACCATCTTGACGATGCATAGTTTTCAGAGAATACAATGATTGAAATTCTCGACTCTTCAATTGCCTCGAGAAGAGCCGGAGATATTTTTTCTCCTCTTCTAAGCTGGCGATCAACGAACGTGTTGATTGCCTTGTCGTCCAACGCCTTGTAAAAGTGATCTGTAAAATTGGTTCGTGTATCCTCTCCTCTAAAGCTCAAAAAGACATCGTACTTCCACGAAGGAGGACTGCTGAACGAAGAAGAAGAAGAAGAGACAAGTTGATTGTTCATTGGAGAAATCCAGGTAAATTGAAGAGCCTTTCAAAGAATTGAGTATGGATGCTGGACTGGTACTCGCACCAAGAATTCGCTCTTGTTATAATACATATATCATGCCTTTAGCGTGATTTTCTGCCTATGTAGGAAGCAGCAGTTTCCTACCACCTTCAATGTGAACGTGATAAAGTTAAAGGAAAGCAACCTTCCTGGGAACTTCCATTCATCAAAGTAGACAGATGGGAACAGCTATAAAAAGATTCCTTCCGGACAATTTTCTGGGTAGTGATTTTGACACAACTATTTTTTACATTGGCAGATTGTCTGCCCTCCTGGTTGTGATGCCATTTTATTTATGCGGTCACGGTTAAGCCACGTAAATATTTTATATTTTATCTTATTATTTTTATTAAAAAATTAATATAAAATATTGACGTGGCTTCACCGTAACTGCACAAAATAGAAAGACATAGAAGGGCACCACAACTAGGAGGGCAGACAATCTGCCTTCATTTTTTACCAGCCCCACGTTGCTATTGCCGGTCATTGTTAGGACTTTTATATTAGTCGGGAATAGCTAAAACGATTCCTTTCGGACAATTTTTGTAGCTAGTGATTTCAATCTAAATACAACACAACAAGAGAGTGTGATAAAATGAGAAATGATGTATGAAATCGATTTTCCTTTTTCTTTTTTTTTTCAGTGCTGAGGAAAAATACAAGAGAAGTAATGAAATACAATTGCATATAAAGAAAAAAGGGACCCCATTTCAGCTACGACCTGCAAATTATAATTAGTGTTTGATACGACACCAAAAAAGAGTACTAATTATAAATCAAATCGAGTAGTAAATATCAATGCTTAGTTACCAAAATGTCCTCGGAACTAGCACGAAAGTATCACTTAATCCCTCCTCGTCTTTGCACTTGAATCAATCACAGTACCTCTTTCCTATCAACTTCGTTTGCTGACTATTACCTTTCGCTCCACGATATCGACATGATAGGAAGATGATCCTCTCTTAATCCTCTTTGTAGAGTTTGGTGCGTTCATCGTTCATTTTGCAATCAGTGTTTTAAGAATTGGATCCACTTCAAATCTTAGTGTTCGGAGCCTATGAATCCTTTAATTTGGGTCGCCGATTTGTGTGCAAGTCAAATCATGACCGTTAATTGTGTGTGATGAATCATAAAAATGAATGAATGAAGACCGTTAGATTTAATTTGTACGGCCCAGATTAAAGGATTTATAGACTCCAAACACTAATTGACAATATACCAATAATTAATTAACAGTGTATCAAGTATAAATGCACGGCAACATGCAATTGACTTTCAAAAATGTAACAAAAGTATTACGTATTGTAGAGTGATTTTCTTCACACCCGTTTTCTTATTTTGTACTTTTCTTTTATTTTTATTTCTACCTATTAATTCTCTTTTATTTATTTATTTAATTCAAGAATAAAAAAAGGGAGGAGTGCATTCAAACTTGGCTCCACCGAACCAGGTCGTCCTTGAACTACGGAAGGCTAATTACTATTATCAGTCTTTGTCAGGGTCCCATTCCCTATCCCATCCCTTCACGCTTCCATTTAGGGTGGGAATAGCAGAGAAAAGCAGAGGAATATTTCTGGTGTTTTCCGAACCTAACGAGAAAAAAAAAATACAAGAGAAAAGCAGAGGAATATGCAGTGCACTGAAAAAAGGACGGAGGTGCAGATTTTTTTATTTTTTTTTAACAAAACGATAACGTCAGTGAGTAAATGTCAGGAAAATTTTGGTTTCACCACAATAGGTGGTTTTTGAGTTACCAAAGTAATAGTGCTTTTTTTTTTTCTTAACCACACCCCCACATTATTTATATCTGGTTTGTGTCGTTTTGAACCATATAAATAATGTCGCATACCTGAAGAAAGGTGAGTCATTTAAGGTGATTTTTTCTTTGACAAATGAGAAAATAATTTATACTAAAGCCAAATAAACTTAAAGAGCCTGAGTTGATAGAGAGGAGCTTTGGTTGCAGCTTCTATTCATAAACACTGATTTTTTTTCGTTTGTTATTGAAGCACATAAACGATGTCATATGAAGCTACCGTATGTCAAATCAATTATGTACATACAAATGTTAAAATGCATGAAAATAGACAATTAACTTGAAATACTGGAACAAAAGCATTTAAAATTTTCTTTGTTGGTACTCCTTTTATCATTTTTATCTGTTTTAGTATTAGTGAGTTAAATTGTTAAACATTAAAAAGAAAATGATCGATAAAGATTTAACACACGCCAAAGTGCATTCATTTCTACCGTCAATTCTCTTTTAGTTTACCAGTGATAGGAACAGCCAAAACTTTTATTTTCACACAAACAACGAGTGGGCGCAAAAAAGATATCCAACAAAGCAGGAAATTTGCGTGCCGTACGATCAACATGCTCATTTATCACGATATCACTTTTATTCGTTTTCTCAGGCTAACCAAATCTTTCTAATATTGAAGCGGACACATGAACTTCAGTAATACTCTGCCATGTACCATTCAGGCATACACGACGTGAAAGTCCTACTTCTCCCTAGACTTCTCCAGCGTACAAGTACTCACGATCCAAAGGCATGTCCTTAAAAATTGTTGATTGTGGTCATCCTTTACATTAATTAGGACCTTGTGAATAGACCCTGAAATTCAAATGTCCCAATGGGTAAAATTTCATCAAA